GAGGCATTTCGAAGGTCCCCTCTCAGCCTTCTCTTCTCCAGGCTGAACAAGCCCAGCTCCCTCAGCCTTTCCTCGGAGGAGAGATGCTCCAGTCCCCTCCTCATCCTTGTAGCCCTGCGCTGGGCTCTCTCCAGTAGCTCCTCATCTTTCTTGAAGTGGGGAGCCCAGCACTGGACACAGCACTGCAGATGGGGCCTCAGTGGGGCAGAGCAGAGGGGGAGGAGACCCTCCCTCGCCCTGCTGCCCACACTCCTCTGAATGCACCCCAGGAGACCATTGGCCTTCTGGGCAGCCAGGGCACGCTGCTGGCTCATGGTCACCCTGTCGTCCCCCAGCACTCCCAGTCCCTCTCCGCAGAGCTGCTCTCCAGCAGCTCAGTCCCAGCCTGGACTGGTGCAGGGGGTACACTTGATCCCATCATCCAGATCACTTATGAAGATACTAAACATCATTGGGCCCAATATTGATCCCTGGGGGACACTACCTGAGACAAGTTGCCAGTTTAACAGGTTGAACAGGTATCTAGTTGTGTAGTAGAATTTTTTTGCATGATGATGGAGGTCCAGTAGGAATATAATTATGTCCTGTACCCAGATATAGAGAAGTTGTACCACTGTTTCTGGCATCTCCATAAGCGTGAGACGTACGTCTGTTGCTTCTCGTATGTCGAGAAAATGGTGTCCTAAACCAGTAAGAAGAAAAAGTATTCTTGTGTTTGATTATTTGACAAACGGTGGTATCATGTTAGTGTATTTCTGATTTATTCCCTTTGTTCTATGATTTAGGAGGCTTTTTTTGAAAGAATGGGTGCTTAGTCTGCCTCTTGACATGCAGCCTTTCTCGAATATTAAGGATGTCCTATTCAAGGCAGCCATTTCTAGTGAAGTTTCTCATAGACTTTATTTTACATAAATTGTCATGTTTAGAAATTGTTTTGGACCAAAATGTCTGCTTAGTGGAAGAAAGCTACAGATACTTTTTTACAAAATATTCACCAATAGATTTGGATGAATTGATAGTTGCACAATTTCCAGCGAGAACTGGGGCAGAAGGAACTAGGAGGAGGAAGAATTTGAGATGAAAAGAGCAAGAGAAAGAGATGACAGAGCAGTTTGGCAGCAGTCTTAAAATGATTGCCTTTTTCTGCCTTTTATAGGGGTGGTATTCTTCTTAGCTGCGTTGAAGTTAGCTGTGAATGTTTCTAGGTTGCATGGGGTGTGGGTAAAAAGAAGCAATCAGGAAGTTTGGGGGAATGTGTTGAAGGTTTCTCAGGCAGTTTCTTCTTTTCTTCCACCTTTCCTACAGGGAACAGTAACCGAAGAGAAGTCAAAGGCTACCCACCACGTTTATCCAAGTCCTACCTCAACGGATGATGGTAAAGTGCCTTTCCAATTATCAAGTGGAAATAGTCTTGTAATTAAATTTAGTTAGCGCTGATGGGAGCTTTCACATGGACACAGAATGTTCCTAGCCTGCTCCTGAGAGCCACAGGAAAAGTATTTCTAGGAGTAACAACTCCAAATAATATCACTGCTTCTGACCATTGGGTGTAACACATTTTTAGCTGATGCAGCATTTTCAGATGAACGTGTGTAACACTGGCTGCTCTTCAGTGGTTGTGTTAGAAATTGAGGTATTATTTATTGCTGAATGCAGACAGATGTTTTGTTAGTCCCAAATAACTTGTAGGCTGAAGGGAAGCAGAACTACGACTCTGGAGGAACTTAAAAAAGAAGTCAACTTGGGTTTAAATTTTAAAGGAAGGATAGTGAAAGTAGAGGGCTTGAAACTAAAGTTTCCATGAAGTTTTTTCTTCTGTTGCTTCCTTCGTGTCCCCCAGTGTGTAAGGATAGATCAAAATGTGGAGTGAAACATTATTACGAATCAACTAGATGTAGGAAAGGTAGCATAGGTGCTAAAGTAAGTGAGAATCAGGAAGCTTTTTGCTGTGTTTTCACCTTTCCAGGCGATAGGCTGGGAATGCTGGTGCGTAGCACTGCGTGCCATTTGGCAGGGCGGATATCGTGACGAGTAGACCTGATAAATTGAAATTGCTGGCTTTATTGTAACGCAGTCTGCCTCTATAGAAAGTACTGAAATTCTAGAAGAGCAAGTGAACGGCTGCATCCTTCAGCAAATAGCAAAAAAAGAGAAAAACTACGCTTAATTTTATTATCTTAAATACATTTAATTATCTGGTGGATCGTTGCTGAGCTTTGCTGTTTCTGATACGCCCTGGCATCTGATGGCCAGCCACTAGATGGAAGCCTCCTCTTCTGCGTAGGAGCCATCCTGACTTGGGTGTCCTTTGGTGCTTGTCTGGGTTCTGTGCTTCTAACAGCCTGCCTTGCCACAGGCTTGTGTTTATTTTTAACCCTTAACTTAAAGTGCTGATTAGCACCAATGTGAAAAAGGAAAGTTGGAATCCGAGTTTTGTTAGACTCTGGGAAGCTTTTTATTAAAGTGTGTTTCACCACCAGCCCCTGCCTCGACATTCTTCCTTCAAAATTTGATTCCTTCAAAACTTACTGTTTTTTTTAAAGACCCGTGAGAGTAGAATTTGGTACTGGCAAGAAGAGTCTTTTGAAATAAATATAAATCAATAGAAGGAGTGTTTTGAAATAAATATAAATCAATAGAAGGAGTGTTTTGAAATAAATATAAATCAATAGAAGGAGTGTTTTGAAATAAATATAAATCAATAGAAGGAGTCTTTTGAAATAAATATAAATCAATAGAAGGAGTCTTTTGAAATAAGTATAAATCAATAGGAGTCGTTTGAAATAAATATAAATCAATAGAAGAAGTCTTTTGAAATAAATATAAATCAATAGAAGAAGTCTTTTGAAATAAATATAAATCAATAGAAGGAGTCTTTTGAAATAAATATAAATCAATAGAAGAAGTTAATGAGGGGATTCAGGTGTCTAACAAGGATACAAAGAGACAGAGGGCAAATATTTACCACTTCACAGGAAAGCAGTTTGGCAGAAGTTCAATCTTTTTGTTTGTACAGAGATTAAGTAAAATTGACAGGTTGGAGCGTGTCTCTCTCCCCGTGTTATTTCTGCTGTCTTTACGGAATGTCCTCTTGGAGGGTTGGCTCTGTCCCAGTCCGAGTTCCAGGCCCAACCGGCTAAGGGCTCTGGGAGATGGGACGGGGCGCGATGGGCTGGCACAGAGGGTGCTGCCGTCTGCCAGCCCCAACTGCCTCTTGCTTCTGTTGAGAGGCCTCCCTGGATGTTAACCTTGTGTTAGGGTGTGAATGTGTGTGGCGAAGGGAGGAAACGTGATCGTTCTTAGCATTAAAATGGCTTTACGAGCGTGACAGCTGTGTCGTGTGCAGGCGGAGCACGTGCGTGGTGAGACACCAGAGGTAACGCGGGCGCGTGCCTTACTGTGGCAGCCCAGGCCGCTGCGATTTCGCTCCAGTGATTGCAAGAACTCTGCTATGCCTGGCTGTGGAAAAGCAAAAAATAGCGTTTAACATGCTTGACGATCTGAATCTGATGCTAGATCTCTTTCCCCTTTGCAGATGAATGGTTGAGACCTGTGATGAAAAAAGACAAGCAGGTGCTGGTACACTGGGGCTTTTTTCCAGACAGGTAAAGAAAGGTGGGGGAAGAAAGCACGCCGCAAATCTCGCTTCAGTTTGTTGAAGGAAAGGTGTTGATTAAAACTTGCAAGTAGGAAAATCCATGTCCTCAAACAAGCTGCTCCTTTAGCTGACAGAGTCTTCCCTCTCCTGATAGTCCTGGAGAGGGGCTTTTCACAAGGGGGTGCAGTGATGGGACAAGGGGGAACGGCTCTAAACTCAAAGAGGGCAGATTTAGGTGAGATATGAGGAAGAAATTCTTCCCCATGAGGGTGGTGAGGCCCTGGCCCAGGCTGCCCAGAGAAGCTGTGGCTGGCCCCCCCCTGGCAGTGCTCAAGGCCAGGTTGGATGGAGCTCTGAGCACCCTGGGGTGGGGGAAGATGTCCCTGCTGATGGCAGGGGGTTGGAACCAGATGATCTTCAAGGTCCCTTCCAACCCAAAACCTTCAATGATTCCCTGATTCTGTGATAGCAGGGCTCTGTGGTTATCGGCAGTGAACCTGCCTGGGGAATGTCCCGGCTGCGTGGGCTACAACTGTGCTGTCATCGTGTTCTGCAGAATATGACAGGCTCAGACCTAGCTCACGCTGGCTTTTCTAAAAATTTAACCTGAATATACAGTGCTGCATTCCTCTTGTTCTGATTCTGAGTGGTTGTACCCCGCTGCTGGTATTATGAGCCAAGCAGTGGTTGTCTGATGGAGTATAACCACGCAGTAATTCAGCATTACTGCCGCTTACCTCAATGTCCAAGGCTTGAAAAGACTCAATCGGTGCTTTAAAACTGAGATATGCGCACCCATTTGTGATGCTGCCAGGTGGGTGAGGTTAGAAAAGGAGAGTCCCTCTTTCTGCAGAGCCACTACCAGAGCTGTAAATTGAGCCAGCCTTTCAGAGGGCGGCGTGAGCCCTTCCGTGAAGTTAGCAAGACTTAAAAGCCAGAAGGAGAACTTCTGATCACCGAGTTCAGCCTTCTGCGACACAGAGAGATTGCGCTCCACGGGTTGCCTGCAGCCAAGTGCAAGTGCCTGGTGAAGGCACACGTTTGAGAAAGCTGTCTTATGTCGTTAGAAGGCATTAAAAGATAACGTATGTACTGTGAGTAACTTAATGTATTTGTAATAACTGGTTTCTGAGTCCAGAAAACTCAAGAAATCAGTAACTCCTCATTAACTTCTGTTTAAATAACTTTTTCAGGGTGCTAGAATCTGCTCTGCTGTGCGTGCACGGATTTCTTGGGAACCATATGCATATTTCAGTGGAAGAGAGCAAACAACTATCACACTTCAGTTTCTCTTTATAAAGATGAAAACCTTTATATATTTTTATATTTATATTATATCACAGAATCACAGAATCACAGAATAGTAGGGGTTGGAAGGGACCTCTGTGGGTCATCTAGTCCAACCCTCCTGCCGAAGCAGGGTCACCTACAGCAAGCAAATATATCAGTAGTCAAGTTTTTGTATTGACCTTGTGTATGTATATGTATTTATAAATCATAGGTATAAAAGTCTTATATATTATAAATATATAAATCAATGTAAGCATGCAGAATGCTGTATGCACAGCTTTTCTGGCATATGACTTCTTCCAGTTGCCCAGTACGTGCTTGGTGTTGATTACAAAGTATTTTGGCTTTGGCTGTTGCTGACTGCAGTTTCTTAATATTAATAAATAGGCTTTTGAGGGAATAGCGTGTGCAAAAGTGAATGTAAATAATAGGTGGGTTCTACAGCAGTAGGGATTGAAGCGGAGGGTGCATACTCCTTGCTTCTAGGAATCCAGTATCTCTTGCTTTAAACTCGTAAGAACAGAAACAAATTAATTAGCTTAATACCAGGGTTTGAACAGGTGACTCAGAAACTGTATTTATACCCGTGAATCTAGAGAGCAGATTTGCAATTTTAAGCTGGAGCTGGCTTCACTGAGGTGGCTTTTAAATCCAGAAAGTTAAAAATATGCACCGGATGCCTTGGACCCCTCCTTTCTCAGTGTGTCCTATTCCTCTAGCAGAAAGCAGTGATTATTCCTTTAGCTTTTCATTGCGTGGAGAACACTTTACCATTCTATCCCAGCAAGATGATTTGCACATGTCAGAATTGCTGAATAAATATTCCTGCGGTGATCTTCCTGGCTGAACAAGCCCAGGGGACCAATTTTGTTTTCTCTGACTCCTCTTGTTAGCTATGACACTTGGGTTCACGCCAACGAAATAGATGCAGAGATTGAGGATCCTCCAATTCCTGAAAAGCCATGGAAGGTAAGAAACGCTTCCCCAGAGTTACTGTGTGGGCATAACTCGTGCTTGGGTGCTGCTAGATAGAGGTTTTAACACGCAGCTGAATAACACTGGCTGTATTTCTGTATATATGGGAAAGCAGAGTGGTGTTTCTGGAGCCCTAATGACAATGTGTAAAAGCATTTGTTTGGGTTGGGGAGAAATGCCATTGAAAAAATAATTTATTTTGTGAGTGAAAAGGACAGACTTAGCATCCCTGCTAGCACCAAAATTACCATGTTTATTTTGGCCTGGCTGGAGCGGGTTTCTGTTAAAGGTGAGTCCTTCCCTTACTGCTGAAGCGCAGCCGTCTCTGGGATGAAGCCTGACGACTCCTTAGAAGGGTTCAGGGGCAGAAAGTGGGGAAAATACCATGTCTTCATGGTGGTTTTGGAAGAGTATGGTTAGAGAAAAGAACTGCCAGGTTAGAAACCTGAGATTACCACACTTGCATTGCAGGGCTTAAAACGTATTTGGTGTGCAGAAAGTTTGTCTTTTTCTGTAATACAGAAATGACCAAAACTGTTCCGAGTTCGATAATATGGAAATTCAGAAGCTTCTTTAGGAGAACAAATCCGAGTTTTTAAAGTCGGTGAGACAGTTGGAATCTGGTCTGTTCTCTTTGAGTTATTGTAATGGCAACATTATTTCCAGCAAATTCAGCCATTGGGAGCAGAACAGAGCTGTGGTCTGGGTGACAGGCGGTGGGTGGCCATGGACTTCCCCGTCCCCTGGTTTCACACTGCTGCAGAAGCTCTGGAGTTCGTCTGTCTTAGCTCAGTACTGCTGCAGATACCAGCTTCTGAGTGCTCGTAGTACAGCGCACAGTTGGAGTTTCTTGGTTTTACCAAAATCCTTGGCGTTGCAAATTAATTATAGTGTATGAACACAACTGTCCCTAGAGTTAGAACCAGCATGAGAAAGCCAGTAGCTGTTCAAAGCATCCCCGAGGGTCGTATCTCACCTTTCTGTATGGAAAGGCTCAATTTAATGGGAACTCTGCTCTTAACTGGTGTCGTAACGACGCAGAAAGTCAGCGCTTCTCGATCCGTGGAACGTGCGAGCACTCACACCAACAGCAGCAGCCTTGTTTAGCTTCCCTACATAATTAGTTTTCTTTGCAGAGGAATGATTTGCCTTTCTGATTTAGTTCATTGCAAGAGAAGAATGTAGGGCAGTTATAATCGAACGGTAGTAACTGGTATTTTATTGTCCTGTTACTGGACATTTTTTATACATAACATGCAGCGTTGTTCTGTGTCTGCTGTTGATCTGAACAGCGGAGTTACAGCAGCTCAGGTCAGAACATAACTTGATGTCTATTCAAACACTACTTACTCCAAGTAGGTACCTCTAAGTAACTGGAACACATGCTTTTTGTGTATAAATCATACTAAAGCTCACAATTTATTTTTAGCTATGTAAACTAGAATTTTATTTGAAGTCAAGATAGCCAATCTTTTCTTTCCATGATATGGCCAACTCTTCTTAATTTTTTTTGGTCTTTGTGGCACGTCTGCTGAGATGACCTGTATGTTTAGAAGCTTTTGATGGTAATTTTTAGCATCCAGAGTATGCTCTTAAGACAGAGCTGTGGTCCCAGCTGTGAGAACTGGCCCCACACTTCAGAAGGCTTAAACATGGCTGAGGAACAGACGTGGCATTCAGTAGGCTTACGGTTGTGTCCATCCCGTGTTGTATTGCCTCCTGAAACTGTCACCTGTGATGTGTAAAACCATTACGAGATGTCTGGACCTTCAGACCCTGATAACAGAGCTGCAAGTATTTCCTTCGTCCTGCGAGGTCTGTCATGGAGTGATTTTTTTTTCAAAAAACGTTGACCTGTCGATCTGTCTTTTTGACCTTCAGGTTCATGCCAAGTGGATTTTGGACACAGATATTTTCAATGAATGGATGAACGAGGAGGATTACGAGGTGGATGAGAACAGGAAATCGGTGAGCTTTCGACAGAGAATCTCCATGAAAAATGAAGAGGTAGGTGGGTCTCTGCTTAATGGGTGACCTGTTGATACGTTAATGTTCTTTATCTCTGTGTAAGCCAAATTCTGGGGACTCCCAAGTTGCTAAAATTAACCTAATTGAACAGTTTAGGGTGCCTGTGATAACACAATCTAGTTTAACTTTCTTCTGACATAAATCCTTTGCCCAGAAGTGTAAGTGTGTGCTTTGATTTTTTTATTTCCCCCCCCTCCCTGAGGATGGCTTTCTTATAAATGAAGCCAGGGCTGTGTTCAACAGCATCAGTTAATATTTGATTTCCCAGTTCTCTGTACTTGTTGAAACTGATTTTTGTATCCCTCCCAGTGCAGGAAGTTAGTTAGGACTCTGAAAACACGCTCATTTAACCTTGAGGCCAGGCTGCGTGCTAGGTCATCTCTCTTGCTGGATGGAATACATTCAGTAAGTCACACGTCAGCGTTCGAATGGACAAAGTACATAGCCACTGCAGCATCTGGGAGATGGCTGTAGAAAATTTAGGGGTTTTCACAGTAAAAAATGGAAGTATTCTGGAGCTGAATGTGGTGCGTGTTGTGATACTGTTGCTGTTAGCTGCTCTGTTGTAGGACCTATTACGGAAGAGCCCTACAGCATTCCAATAACCGTAGCATTTGGGATGAGCTAACTACTCCTCTTCTCTAACAGCCTGTGCGTAGTCCGGAGAGGAGAGACAGGAAAGCAGCAGCCAGTACAAGGAAGAGGAAGCATTCTCCTTCTCCACCCCCCACTCCTGTCGAGTCGAGAAAGAAGACGGGGAAGAAGGGGTGAGTGTCCATGCCCTGCAGTTTGAGGCGAGTTTTCGTGAAGAGATGCTTGTGGGGAGATCGCTGTCACCTTTCACTTGTCTCACCCTGGGGTACAGTAGAATAATTATTTCTGTGGTAGACGTGATTTTGCTTGTGCAGTGTATGTAATTTCTCTGCTCCTCTGTAGAAGCGTGTTGCCTGCAGGAGGAGGAGAGTTTAGGGCAAGCTGCCACGTTGTCTGCGTCAGTGGTGGGGTTCATTGCTGTGTCCAGAGTAGAACTTATCAAAGGAAAAGTTACTCAGCTGCTTCTAAAATAACTCAAACTAGTTACAGAATCACAGAATCACAGTATGTTGGAGGTTGGAAGGGCCCTCTGTGGGTCATCTAGTCCAACCCCCTGCCAAAGCAGGGTCACCCAGAGCATGCTGCAGAGGACCTTGTCCAGGCGGGGCTTGAATA